CATTCGCCTTCCTGCGTGTCTGTCAGAATTTGGGGCCCCCGTAGGAGGACCGGTCACAGTCAGGTCAACATACCATGCTGAGTAGATACCCGAGGGCTCAGTCTGGTACAGCCTGGGGACCTTGCTGCCGTTGTCGAAGCCGACGATGAGGGTGCTGATGCCGAAGGGGCGGACACCGCCGCTCTGCGTGTAGCGCTGCTGCACGCCGGCAACGTACTTGGTCATGTACTCGATGGAAGCGGGGTCCTCGACGGTCAGCTTGTGAGACTGGGCCTCTAACCGCGCCTTGTCGACGAGAATGCGGGCGTCGGCGTTGAGGCCGGCAAAGGCGAGGCAGACGTGGGTGTCGAGGAGCTGGAGCTTGGAGGGTGTGATTCGGGTGTCTTGGAGCTTCATCGCGGAGCGCTTCTCGCAGCCGAGGACGACGACGTCCTGGCCCTTGACGCCGACGGCGCAGGTTCCTATGGGGATCGATGAGCTTGATAACAGGCAGCGGGAAGGCGGGCGGTCGCACCTCGCTTCACGGCCTCGCCGGCATATTCGACCTGGAAGACGTGTCCATCGGGACTATTCGATCGCGCGTTAGATATGAGGGGCCTGCATTGGCCGCGAGGGTGAAGACGAACCTGAAGACTGCCTGGAAGTTAGCTGGTGGCTCAGTGTTGCGAGGGGTCGGTGCAGCTTACCAGAGAGCGCTCTGTCGTATCCTGAAGCCATATTGTCTGTGGAGAGTGGTTGAGTCGAACTGTTGGGTGTAGATAGTTGGTCTCGGCGTCGGGGGTGGCTTGATGTCTCGAGATGGGATCGTGGAGGTTGATGGTCGTGATGCGGTCAGTAATGGGGCAGGCTCCAGGTCTGACGAAGCTTCGCTACCTGGACGCGGTAGGCTGAATGGACAGCTCCCAGAGCTCCTGCTGTGGCGGCAAAAGGCCGGGTAGGATGTGGACTGTGTGGAGTACAGTAGCCCGGTATTGCGCACTGTCCAACATCCCATCACAACAGCTACCCCACGAGGTGATGTTTACCCATCAAGTATTTGGTGGCGGGTGACTGACTACCTGAGACTGCCCCTCCAATATAGGGCAAGCATCAAAAAGATTGGCTCAATGATTTTCCAAGGCAGCAGACCATACCGTTGGTATTGCATTTATCATGAGAGCTTTGACTTCGTGTTAATTAGCTTGGAAGCTTCGTAAATATCCCATGTATTCTATCCTAAGTGAACCCCTCCATTGTTTCTCAATACCGCCAACAACGAGCGAATGTGCTGCATCCAGGCAGGCATATATGAGCCTTTGAAGTACCAGCTTCAACACCAGCCCATCACAGACCTCACACAGCTCAGAACTGTCCCAGGTCAACCCACCTCTGATCCATGACGGCCTGGGCAACCCGCTGCCCCTCAGCCACCAGCTTCTCCCTGAACCCTTCACACCACAACATCTCAAGCGCCCCGTCCGCGGAGACGGCGTTGGTCTCGCGAAACACGCCGTGGGCAACCGCAAGGGGCGCGACCAAGGCGTCCACCTGAACGCCGGCACCCAGGGCAAACTCGAGGCTGCGGCAGATGCGCGCCGCGTAGTCCCTCGGCCGACGGTACCTGTTCGTGTCGATCTGCAGGGTGGGCGACAGGTCGGCGTACATGTCTTGAAAGTCCTCGAGGACCGGCGCGCAGACTGCGGCGTGGACGCGGTCGACGGTGGCGCGGAAGAGGAGGGTGGCGGTCCAGTAGGTGATCAGCGCGAGGGCCGTCGTGCTGTCGCGAAACGAAAAGGCGTCGGCGAACGGCAGCGGTTGGTAGGCGGGGAGGGCCGAGGGGTCGGCAGGATTGGCCGCCCAGTAGGCGGGGTCTGACGCTGGGTTCAGGGTGGCGTACCAGCCGTCGAGCTGTGATTCAACGGCCAGGCAGTCGTAGAGCAGTTCTTGGGCCTCCAGACGGCGGGCCAGCGTGGCTTGTTTGGGGGTGATGAGGTCGGCGCGGGAAAAGACTCCTGGGAGCAAGACAAGGGTATCGAGGAGAAAGTCGAGAACAGACTTGGGGTGGTATTCCCAAGGGGTTGTACACCATGCTTCCTCGGCGAGAAAAGTCATCTTCTTGTTGAGGAGGGCGAGCATCACCTGTGTTGGTCAGTTTTCAGAGCCGTGTCCCGGCAGGTTTCGGGGTGCTCCGATGGCCAGCACTTACAGCCGTCTGTCTGTATACACGCACAAAATAATGATGGGCCGGAAAGTATTGGTAGCTCTCTGGGCCAGCTTTCCTTACGCGGCTCAGTTTGTCCTGGTTCAGTTCCCAAGTTGGCTGACCAGCCTCTTGGAGGAAGGATGAGTTATGCTGCCAAGGTGAGCGGCAGTCCATTCGAAGGGGGCGATGGACACGTACATCAAATAAGAAAGTGAATGTTCCGTTCAACGAGCCATTGTCCTCGTCCGGCGAAGACAGGCTGACCAAGGAATGGGCCGAGACTTCGAGCTCTCGCCCCTTTTTGAGAAAGTACAGACCAGATGGGGAGTAGGGCGTCAGGGCGACCTTGGCGTTGGCCTTCTTCTTACCCTTTCCAATGTTCTGAACGTTTGCCTGAAGCACGGTCATTTGCACCAGGTAGGTGACGCCCTTGTTTTCGACGAAGAGCAGATCATCCCAAGCAGGGGCCAAGGGCTCCATGGCAGCCAACTCCATTACATCACTTTCGGGGCTATTCGACTTGCTCTTCTTCGTCTCAGGGCTGATGGACTTGCCCTTCTTTCTCTCCGGCGTGACTGACTTGCCCTTCTTCGACGATGAAGCAGACGAGCTGACATGGCGCGGCGGATGAGAGGAACACCGGCCTGCGTCGTCGACAGTGGCCATGATGAAGACCCTCTCACGCTCGTACCCGGCACACTCGCGGCCGCCATCGATGCATCTCTTGCACTTGGGCCGCTGGTTATCGCACTAGATATCTCGTTAGCTTTTCCTTTGCCAAGGCAGTCAACGCCGCAAACGTACCTTGACCCTCCTCGCCCTACAAGTCTCGCAACCCTTGTATTTGCCAGGAACACCAACCATGTTTTTGAAGCAAAGACGACGAGGTGTAAATTCGAGAGGTAAGGACAGGTAAGAGGCGCAAGATGTAGTAGACCGTTACAGCTAGTTTCCTTGGCAAGCGCCTACCGATGTGTGCATTGCCGAAGCGGGATCCAGCCAGGTGCTTTATACAAGCTCCTCTCGAGCCAAGGCATAGAAAACGCCGGCCCCCCGAGAGTCGTTGTCCAAAAATATAGCAAGAGACAGATTGAGGATCGCATCGTGGCCCAAGGGGATCATGGGCCTCAAGACACTAGACCACTCGGAGCCCCCATGGACCAGGGGCCGTCAGGGACTGGACGAAACCCGAGGGGAGATCGCGGCCGAGCCTCCGAGGCTCCAGGCACCGGCATTTCCTCACACACATACACACACACTCTCTCTGTCTCTCTCTCTCGTTCTAAGGTTCTGACGCTGTGCCTGGTTGCGGCTCCTGCCAAATCAGCCGACGGATACCATCAGGTGACGACACTGCCTGGGGCCGTGGATGTTGCTTCTTTGGGTTCCCTGCCCTCCCCAGCGGCGTCCGGTAGGGCCATGGCACCGAGAGTGGCATATGTGACAGCCGCCCACCCTCATTGGGGGATGGACCGATTCGAGGAGGAAGCGCGGCTGAGTCGGTCGAGACGACTCGGCTGGGACGAGTGTCCTGCGGCTCGGAAGGCATCCGCTAGGAAGTGCGCACACAATTACCCCGCGGGAAGCGAGATTGGGCGCTGTGCTGGGTGCGCTGTTGCCGAGATGTTCGTTGCTGGTAGGTGACCTTGGTGACATGTTGGAAGAAGAGAAGAGGGGGGGGGGTGTACTTCCTCGGGAGGCTCCAGTATCAAAGCCCTGTCCCGTCGTGGAGGTTTCGATGCAGGAAGGTCGGGTTCGATAGCGTCTGATTCGCTGGGTTTAGGGGGTGTCGTTGATCTGTACCAGGTACCTAGCACGCTAAGGAAGAGGCCGTTGGTGGAGGGTCCAGGGCCAGGTCCAGGGGGGGTGCCAAAAGCCACGGGGGATCCCCAACGCCCGGGGGGGGGGGGGGGGGGGGGGGGCTCGAGCTCCAGAGGGGCCCTCGAGCTCCAGGGGGCGCCCCAGCTTGCCAAGCCAACCACCAACGGACATAGGGCTGCAGGGTCTCCTCCTCCTTCTTTGCACCTCCATTCTCCATTCACACTGCCACCCAACTGGCTCGATCCCAAGGCCCGGTCTTCGGGCCGCTGAGTGGTTGTCCTGCATGCTTTGTCTGGGCCCGGGAGGCGAAAGAGTTCAGATGATCCTGTCGACAAGCCTGAGAGAGTCGCTGGCTGTCGTCACACGGGATACGGGGGGGAGACACACAAGGGGACCTGCCCCCGCCCAGAATGCCTTGCCTTGATGCTGGATTCCCCATCGCGGGGCTTTTGAGCCTCGCCCCCAAACGATCTTGGTCGTTCCAAGGCCGCTTCTCACTTTTTTTTCATGGTCTTGTTTGACGTTGCCTCTTCTCCAATTTCCTCAGGGTATCATTCCGCGTATTGCGAAGGAGTGTCGATGGATCCCGAAACGCGGCGCAAAGAATCCGTCAAGGCTGACTCTCCACTGCTTTTGTTTTGCGCGCGCGCGGGAATACACTCAACAACTCGGAGGGACCATCGAACCCATCATGACCGACCCGGCAGTCGACATTCCTTCGCTCCTGTCAATGGTTCGATGCAGTGTGATTGCCAAGACGAGCCTGCCCAGCGGTCCAGTTAAGGTGCTGAAAGGATTGTATCTCTGGACCCCCATAGTAATTAATCTCTCCTCTCCAGCAGCCGAGGTCGTCTATGCAGGCAAGGCAGGGTGTGCTGCCTACCCCCATGTCAGCTCACCCCCCCCATCTCTTCTTCACCAAGCATCATCCGATAATCGCCTCTCGCACAATGGTTCCGCCACGCTGGGTGGTACAGACAGGCTCGCGGGATCGGCAGACACGGCCACAGGCAGCCACTTTCCATCAGATTGCAGAGACTCACACGTTCGGGGAGGGGGGCGAACGAAGAGCACAGCAACGGGGCTGCAGCACAAGAGATGTGGCGAAGATCATCAAGGTGATGCACCACGAAACGAGGGGGGAGGGGGGGGGGGGGGGGGGAGGGAGTGCCCAGTGGCCCAACACCTGGGTCTGGTTTCTTTTTTTGAAAATAAAAAGGGCCCCGCCGGGGGCTGTGAGTTGTTCATTAACCAACCCCTGAAAATTATTTTCCGATTGAGAAAGTACAGGTAGTACATGTACGGTCATTTCCAGGCTGACCATATGGGGTGGGCTGCATCTCGATACCATCCGATATCTACCTCGCAGTCACCATCCGGCCCGAGTCATCGTACAGTGCAGTCGAAGCGAGAGTGCATTTTGTGTCTTTTCCCTTTCGAGGCTCGCCCCCTTGCCTGTTCCAGCCAATCTGTACGTTTTGAGGTGCCAAGGGAAGGGAGCAATGGAAAGAGAGAGGGGTATCAGATGTATTTGTACGGGTTCATGATGCCATTCTGATGACACGATTAGCAAAGCCCAGTATTCGACGGTCGGGGCAAGAGAGACAGGTAGAGGCCCGTCCTGTCCTCTCGTAGAGACTCGTATAAACTCACCGGATCATAGAGGTTCTTGATGCCCTTCATGAGGCCGATCATGCTGTCGGATCGGCTGTAGCCGATAAACTTCTTCTTGGCCACGCCCAGGCCGTGCTCGGCGCTGATGCTGCCGTTGCGCTTCTGGATCCACTCGTAGACGAACGGCTCGAGCACCTCCTCGACGCGCGGATCGTACCGCCGCACGGCGGCGTTGAGGTGCAGGTTCGAGTCGCCCATGTGGCCGTAGCCGACGACGCCGACGACGGGGAACTCGTCCGTGTCGCCGACGAGGCCCGCCGCGCGCATGCGCTCGTTCGTGTCCTCGACGAGCCTGTACATGTCGGCAATGGGGATGGACACGTCGTACTTGTACGTGCCGCCCCAGTGGCCGAGGCACTCGGGGATGCCCTCGCGCCAGCTCCAGAGGGCCTTGGCCTGCGTCTCGTCCTGCGCGAGCACGCCGTCCGACACGATGTCGTTGGACATGACGTGCTCGAGGAACGTCTCCAGCTTCTCGTAGTCGTGGTCGCCGTTGGACCCGCTCGTCTCGACGAGGCAGTAGAAGGGGTGCTCGTCGTCGAGGGGCCGCTTGGCGTCGCGCCGCACGCGGTGCACGAGCTGCTGGCTGCCGGCGTCCATGAGCTCAAAGGCCGACAGGATCTCCGACAGCTGGCCCTTGGCCGCCTTGAAGGCCTGCTGCACCTTGTCGAAGGACGCGAGGCCGAAGAAGGCGACGTTGACGGCGCTCGACCGCTGCGGGCAGATGACGGACACCTTGGTGATGATGCCGACGGTGCCCTCGCCGCCGATGAAGAGCTGCTTGAGGTCGTAGCCCGTGTTGTTCTTGCGCAGCGTGCAGAGGTCCTCGACGACGGTGCCGTCGGGCAGCACGGCCTCGAGGCCGAGCACGTTGCCGTGCAGGCTGCCGTAGCGCAGCAGGCGCAGGCCGCCGGCGTTGGTGGCCACGTTGCCGCCGACGTGGCACGAGCCCTTGGCCCCGAGGTCGAGCGGGAAGATGTAGCCCTTGTCGGCGAGGAACTGGTCGGCCGTCTCGAGAATGACGCCGGCGTCGACGACGAGCGTGCCGCTGACGTCGTCAAACGACTGAATCTTGTTCAGGCGGCTCATGTTGATGATGATCTCGTCAAAGATGGGCACCGAGCCGCCGACGAGGCCCGTGTTGCCGCCCTGGGGCACGACGGCCAGCTTGTTGTCGTTGCAGTACTTGAGGACCTTGCTGACCTCCTCCGTCGACGCAGGCTTGAGCAAGAGCTTGCTCTGGCCGCGGTACTTGCGCATCCAGTCCTCGTTGAAAGCCTGGAGGTCTT